TTGTGGACTGCAAGAGGAAAGTAAAGTTCTCTGGCCCATCTCAGTCCGCTTGAAGCCGCAGGCTTAACATCACTAAGGCACCCCATTATTTGGCGTTGTTAGGGAAAGGCAAAATCACGCCTTTGCTCAGCATCCTAGAATGGACGTAAAGTTTCAAAATGAACTCTGTTCTTCCACATTAACAATCGCTTCTGAAGGCATCTCTCATATCTTAGGCTCAACACAAGCATTCAGCAAGTAAAGCCCACTCTTAGCTCAAGTTTTTGGAACAACTTTCAACGACTTGTATTTTTTAAGGAATTGTGCATAGAAATTAGTGAATTGTAAGCTTCCCATTTAACTTAAATACCGATCAACATAACTTTTTTTTCAAATTCCCACTACAGGTTTGCCCGCAAGTTGGCTCCTTCAAATGCAAATGAAACAACACAATCATTTGCGTTACGTGCCATTTTTAAAACTAAATTGCTAGTTCGTAAAACTTTCGTCCCACTCTCTGAGAATGAAATGAAAACGAATTCGAGGCTGTTCACCACTTCAGCGTTTTGAATAGACCTGAAACGTTTTAATTAGACAAGAAGGCACAAAGTTCCACTAGACACATGGAAATTTAATGGAGACGAGATAGTTGACGTAACAATATAAATGTGGCAAAATAATTTTCGCACCAATCTCTATTTGTAAGATTTGTTTAATTTTTTTCATTTCAATGCGAATAAGCAATGAAATTCGACTTCGAAACAAGTGTTTCAACGCACAGTCGCCGAATTCCCCTCCAACCTACCAACAACACCAAGAAGCCCTCAAATCCTTACCGAGCCACGTCGGCTAGGAGGCTGCCCCTACCCACCACCCACTTGAGCCCAGCTAGGAGCCATCTGGATCTCCTTATTGACCATCGTTTCTCAAAATCCTCCCAACGTCGTCGAAGGTACACTCTGTCGACTTGGTCCCCTTTAATCCTGGTCGTCTGTTGGACGCCCATTTTTCTCCTCCTAATGTCATCCCTCGCACCTGGGGTGCTAGCTGCAAGTGAGAGTGAAACCATCACTCTCTCCCGAGCGTTGGATAGTCCACCTGGCGAATTAGTCGAATTAAAGACGCTCCTCAAATCACCACCGGTAGCAGATGAGAATTCTAAACCCATCCACGAGTTGACGGAAGTAGAACTTTCCGACGATTTGGAATTGCCCGATGGTATTGAAGACGGTTCGCAAAATGAGGATGTCTCCATCTTCGGTGAACCAGAAATGGATGTCTTTTCGGGAGACATGGATTTACAAGCAGACACCATGCTTGTGGACGAGTATTCCCAAATTTCAAAGCGAGAAGTACACATCAAAGGTGGGTTTTTGATGTTTACTTGCAAAAAGATGTAACGTTTGTTGATCAAGACCAGCAAAACTTATTTCGACTTACCTATTTACCAATTTCGGGAAGTATTTTGCTTAGTGTGTATTTCGATTTAACTCATTCCGTAAGGCTCGTTGTGCATCGTGACGATCGCAAAAATTGCAAACGCTACAAGTAGGGACACTTCGATGTCAAGGGGTGTGAAGGGGCGGAGTCGAACGCGTTTTGCATAAGCATTGGAAGAAGCCAAAAGGAAAGCAGGAGCTTGTAGTAACTTTATGAAGGGACAAATGCCTATGAAACAATCAAAATTGGATAGATTCACTCTAAGTGACGTCCCAGCAATTGTGCAAGTTTTTCAGTGATGACACGGACCCATAAATGCACAGCCTTTCCGAATCGTTCTTACGAAAGTATAGTAAATAATACAAATCGGAGGCCAAATAAATCGAAGACAAACATGACGACGGATGAAGGAGGCTCTATACAAGATTCCGCACATCGTCAATAAGTGCTTTTCGACCTACACTCAGCGAAACCGTCATCTGTGCTTGAATACTTAACTGACATGTCTCGGCTGCATTTCATATTACATATCAGAATCTAAGGCCGCTTTGTCTGTGTAAATTGACTCAATCTAACAATCGCCTTTGCACTAACTGTGGCAAAATTACGCGTATTGTAGAATCTACAATGCTCAAAATTCTAATTTACTAGAGTTATTCCGCGGTTTGAGGTTCTAAAAGACAGATCCTAATTTTAGACACAGCTATGTATGCGTTATTTCCTTAGATTTTGTATTCAAACGATTTCGACCTCTAACCGTTTTGTTCAAAAGTTGTTCAAAAATGTCACTTCGTTATAAATAAAAGGAGTCATAGCACTTTGGTTAAATGCATATATTTGCAGAAATGGCACAGTGGTCGGAAATTTGGGCATGACCGGCACCCACGCCAAGGGAAATACCAGAAGCCTTGCTAACAACTTTATGTTGCAGCAATTTTAAAATTGCC